ACAGCCACTCGCCTCCCACAGCTCTCCCCCGAACAGCTCAGCAGCCCCTGGGCCCCAGCCAGGCTCATCTTCCCTGCTCCTGCCGCAGCCTCTGTCCTGCCCAGCCGCCCCCCAGCACACAGCACTGAGGGGCTGGAGCTGACTGCAGCCCCGGACAGAGCCCACACAGGCACGGTGGCACGGCACGGGGGGCAGGGGGGCAGTGCCATGGGTGGATGGCAGAGCTGCACGGGTGGGGCAGACACCAGGATCCTCACTAAAGCTGCCCTGCAGCGCTGCTCCCCTGTTCCTTACTGCGGGACCTGCTGGCTGCACCCCAGCACGGGCAGGACTGGGGGCACTCTCCAGCCTGGCTCCCCACACACACACAGAGCCAGGTGCTGCCCTGGCCAGCGGCTCAGTGCCCACAGCCCAAACGTGTCCCAGGGCTGGGGTGGCAGAGGGACTCACCACCTTGGCCATCTCCAGCCCCACTGACCCCAGCTCCCAGCTGCCTGGGGGTCCCATCCCTTCCCTGTGCCCGAAGTCACCTCCGTCCCTTCAGGGTAGCCCATGGGGACGGTCCCTCCTACCTGTCACAGCCACGCCCTGGCCCCCGGCCCGAGCCCGCAGCACCTGCCCGGAGCAGGGGCGGGCGGAGGGGTCCTGGTGCCAGTGCCCCTGAGCAGGGCGCGGCAGGAGAGCTCACACGCAGCTGTCAGACAGAGGGGCCAGGGGCTGGCGTCAGCGAAGCCCCCAGAGCCACTTAGCACCAGGCTCCTAACAGCCCGGGGGCTCACAGCCCCGGGCCCTGCCCCAGGCCCGCGGGGCCCCTGGCACTTCCTACCCAGTCTGTCACAGTCCCCAGCACAGCCGCCAGCACCAGGGTGCCCCTGGAAACCGGGCAGGATTTTATTCACACCCCCAGAGCGCACCAGCCTGACCTCCCCTCCGAGCCCTCCAGAGCCGGACCGGCAGTGCGGGACTGGGGGCCACGGGGGATGGAGTGAGGGGAGTCGGGAGTGGGCGAGGGTCCGTCCTGGTGGCTGGGGAAGCGCAGACTCCTTTATTCGCTTTGTTTGTTCTCATCCTCAAACCACTTCAGCACCGTCGCCCGGTTCTCCTTCACCCAGTTGATGTTGGCACGGGTCCGCTCCAGCGCCTGCTCCAGCGCCCGCGTCCCCGACCCAAACCCGATGTCCTGGTTGTCCTTCTTGAACTGCTCCAGCTGCCAGGCAGAGATGGGGCTGGAGCAGGCCGGGGGTGGGCCCGGCAACCCACGGGAGATCCCAGAAGCTCCCAGTACCTCTGGACACCACCCAGGAACACCCCAACAGCCCCTGACAACCCCTGTGAGCACTCCAGCACCACCCCAGCATCTCTCAGCTGCTCCCTGGCAGCCCCCAGGAGCACCCCAATAGCCTGTGTGAGCCCCCCAGAACCACTCCAGAAGCCCCCAACACCACCCAACATCATGCTGAAGAAGCCAGAAGCCCCGAGAGCCCCCCTGGCAGGGTCCAGCCTCACCTGCTGCAGCTCAAACTCTGAGGAAAAGCGCTGGGTCACAGATAAAATCAGGCGGGAGAAGGAGAAGGAGCCGCCCCCGTACCTGGGAGAGCAGAAGTGTGCTGAGCCAGCGGGGAGGGGATGGGGAAGGGAAGGGACAGTGCCACCCCCAAGGGGCACAGGCAGACAGGGGTGCCCCCAGCCCCCGCGGTGCTCACTGGGTGAAGAGCGTCCTCCAGTTGCCACGGATGAAGTCCCAGGCCAGGGGCTGCCCCACAACGTTGCTGGCAATGCTGTTGATGGTGGAGGTGGCATCCTGCTTCCGGATCTTTGTGGGGTCGAGGGTGTACTCCAGGTACCTGGGGGGGCACGGTGAGGGGGTGAGGGGCTGGCGGGGCAGCGGACACGATGTGGGTTATGGGCCAGTGGGCACACCCCACAGTGCCAGCCAGACCCCACACGCACCGGTTGAGGATCCAGGGATGGGGGCTGCAGGAGAGGGCCGTGCGGAGCTTGTCGGCCTCAGACACCACATGGGCCTCCTGGAACTTCTTCCAGAGGAAATCCCAGGCCTTCTCCCCGCCCGTGGCCACCATGCTGCAATAGATGGCTGAGCGCAGGTTCGGGGGGACCCTGTTGGGGGAAGAGCCATCAGTGCCAGGAGCCCCTGGCCGCGCCCAGCCCGACCACACGCACAGCACCGGGGCTCCCGAGGACTCACGGGTTGTCGGTGGAATTCTCCCACGCACTCAAGTAGTCGGCAGCCAGCTGCTGACACTCGGTGACCCCGTAGGAGCAGGCGGTGCTGATGGCATTGACCTCGTTGTACCTGGGGGAGGGAGGCCGGGCTGGGGTCCGGCACAGGGCACCCACTGGCCAGGGCCAGCTGGAGGCAGGGCTGTGCCCTCTGCCCAGCGCAGTCGGGGAGACCCCAGGGATCCAGCCCAGCCCCGGGGCCACGGCACTCACTGGGGCATCAGGCCACTGGGGATATCATTCCAGTCATTGGTGATGTTCTTGTAGTGGGTGAAGAGAGGGGTCACCTGCTTCCTCATGTAACTCTGGGGACAAGAGAGAGTCAGTGACACTGGCAGCAGCCCCCACACCACTGTGGGGGCAATCCTGGTCCCTCACCCACCGGCACCACTCACCGACATGGCCCCAAAGACCTCGCTGCGGTCAAACATCTGCTGGAAGTACTGGAGGTTGGTGAGGGCTGCCTGCCAGGGCATGTATTCCGTCTCCCACCTCAGGAACCGTGTCGTGTTCAGAGCCAAGGTCACGTTGACGTACTTGGCCCTGTCAGGGATGGGGGCAGCGTCACCTCCCCAGCCCTAGCGGCACTGCCCACCCCAGGGCACCCACCCCATCCAGCCCCTCACCCCGGTGGCACCCAGACCACCTGGCAGGGCTCACCTGGCCAGGTTAAAGGCATCGTCAATGATCTGGGCACGGTTGATCACAGGGAAGACCTGAGAGAGCAAAGTGAGTGTCTCAGGGCAGCCAGAGCGGGGTGGCCTGCATGGGGTCCCACACCACAGCCCCCTGTACCGTGTGGTTAGTGCCAAGCTGGTTGAGGAGCTGATCCCAGTTCTCCTGGTTGTAATTGACTCGGAAGTACCCAGTGACATTGAGGTTCAGCAGGAGCCAGCCGGGGCTGTTGAGCCTGAAGACGCTGTTGGTGTCTGGGAAGGGGACAGGAGGTTCTGCCAGAGCCACACACCCACCCGCCAGGGAGGGCCAGGCTCAGCTCCCTCCACCCCCCACCGCCTCCCTGGGACCCTCCCCAGTGCCATGGCAGTGGAGGTGGCAGCAAGGCCCCCACTCACAGCCAGGACACACCGTACCTGTGACTTTGGTCAGCCAGTAGATGCTGTTCCCGCTGCCACTGTCTGTCATCCAGGTGATGGGGATGATCCAGGTGTAGCTGTGCCATGGACAGACAGGTGGTGGGACTGGCCCTCATCCCCAGACCCCTCGTTTCCCAGCCAGCCCCCGCCACACTCACTTGAAGGCAGAGGGTCTGTCCACAGAAGATGTGGGGTCCAGCAGAAAATGAGTCTGATTGACGGTGCCGCTCTTGGTGTCAACAGTCACCACAGGGAAGCCCATCTGCAGCGTCCAGCGGTCCATGATGTTGCTGATGCTGTCAGGCAGTTGCACGTTGTTCTTCTCCACCGCCTGCGGGGATGGCAGCGCCGCCAGTCACCAGGGGCACGGGCAGCGTGGGGCTTGGCCAGCGCTGCAGCCCTCAGCCAGCACGTGGGACCCTGCCAACCAGGCAGCCCCCCAGGGCTGGGGATGCTGCAGGAGCACCAGCCCCCTCCTACCTGTTGCAGATGGTCCCAGAGGTCAGTGTAGACGGTGTTGTTGTAGGAGAAGGTGTGGAGGTAGGACTGTGGGAGAGCACCAGGAGAGACGGGTGAGCAAGGGCAATTCTGGGGTGTTGGGACACCCCTAGAGCGCCCAGGAAGGGCTCTGCCATGGGAATCCCACCCTGCACTGGGCTTGCTGCCCCCCAGTACCAGCAGCACCTCACCTGCAGCCCCTCCTTGAAGATGTTCTCGCTGAGGAAGCTCGAAAGCATCCGCAGCACCGATGCTCCCTGCGGGGACAGCAGGTCAGAGAAGCCAGGGACACCCCAGAGTCCATCCCCACCCCCGGGACCTCCGTGCACACCTTGCTGTAGGCGATGCTGTCAAAGACTTCACTGATCTGGGCTGGGGTGTTGATCTCCTCCTCGCGGAAGGAGAGCGGGTGGGAGCTGGCCAGGGCGTCCGTTGCCATCACCGTGTGCACCTCGTTCAGCACCATCAGATCTTTCTGCAGAGGGGGCAGCAGCACCCGCCTCAGCCCTGCGTGTGCCGCCCGGCACCGGGGCAGCCCCTGGTTCCCCACATCGTCCCTGGCACTCACAATGCTCCAGGAGGGCTCAGCAAAGTCGGCACCCAGGTACTCCACGTACGAGGCGAAGCCCTCGTTCAGCCACAGGTCGTTCCACCACCGCAGCGTCACCAAATTCCCAAACCACTGCAGAGGGCACAGCACTCCCTCAGCCACCAGCCATCAGTCAGGGGAGTGGGCGAGGGGTGCAGCAGGTACCTGGTGTGCCAGCTCGTGGGCAATGACGGTCACCACCCGCTCCTTGTTGCCAATGGAGGAGTACTCAGCATCGAAGAGCAGCGAGTTCTCCCGGTACGTCACCAGCCCCCAGTTCTCCATCGCGCCCGCATTGAAATCAGGGAGGCCGACCTGGTCTGGGGTGGAGGGGTGCCGTCAGTGCCCCGCTGACAGCACGCTGGACCATCGTCCCCCTGCAGTGGGCACCTCAACCCAGTGCCCCAGGCACCCCACAGCACGCACCAGACTTGGGGAGCGGGTAGGACGTGTTGTAATGCTCCTCAAAGAACCTGAGGATGGGGCTGGTGACATTGAGTGCGTAGTCGCCCTGGCCCTCGTTGATGGCTTTGGGGCGGCCCCAGATGCGAATCTGGAGAGAAGGGATGCAGGATTCATCAGTAGCCCAGGCTCAGCCACCCAGCTGGGCAGGGGTGCACCCCACCCCATCCTACCAGTATCTTCTCCGAGTCATTCTGCACGCTGGTGAACTGGCTGACAATGAAGGCCAGAAGGTACGTGGACATCCGGGGGGTGGTCTGAAACTCAGTGACATTCCAGGTCTCCCCATCAATTATCTGCTGCCTGGTGTCTGTGGAGATCAGAGGATCACCCCACAGCCCTGCCAGGCCCCCAGCCCCACCCAGCGGGGTCCCCCTGCCCTACTCACTTTTGGCAGGCATGTTGGAAATGGCCACATAGTTGGAGGGGTGGATCAGTGTCACTGTGAAGTTGGCTTTCATGGCTGGCTCGTCGAAGCAGGGGAAAGCTTTGCGTGCGTCAGCTGCCTGCATCTGTGTGGTGGCCACCACCTGCCTGTGAGCCAATCCCATCAGTCCCGAGGGTCCCTGTGGAGGCTGCACCCCACAGCCCCCTTTCTCCCGCCCCCACTGGGGCAGCATAAGGATGCAAGGAGGGCACAAAGGCTCCACACACCCATCCCATGGTCCTGGTGGGAGAGGAGCCCCAAAGCCAGCCCAAGCCCTCCACCATCCTGTGCCAGCCCCCTGCCCCCATTCCCCTTCCCACCACCACATCGGGCCAGGCCTGTGGCTTCCACCCCGTCCCCTGCTGTTCACATACCTGTTGCCTGACTCGTCAGTGTATTCGCTGCGATAGAAGCCAGCCAGGTCATCGGCCAGCTCCCCAGTGAAGCTGCTGGACAGCCGGTAGCGCCGGCCCTGCTGCAGGGGAGCGGCCAGCTGCACCACCAGGTACTGGGTGGGAGTCTCCAGCCAGGTGCGGGAGATGGCCGGGGCCTCCCCACCGCCCTCTGCCTGCAGCGCCACATGGAAGGAGCCCTGCATGGTGTAGTTCAGCTTGTTGCTGTGGATGAGGATGAGGTTGGTGGCTTCCTCGCACATGAAGACCACACTGCTGCTGCCCTTGAAGATGTACATGTTGTTGGCATCAGGCTTCAGGAAGGGCTGCAGGGACACCTCGTAAATCTCCGGCTTCAGCGTGGCCGGCAATCTCCAGCGGTTCCAGGGGTCGTTGGGATTGGTGGTGGTGGTGGTGGTGGTGCTGGGGGTGGTACTGGTGCCCACATCTGATGTCCCCTTGTTCTTTTCCTGGGCGTACACCACCGAGAGCGCAATGATGGTGGCCACAGCCCCCAGGCCCAGCATGATGCCCACGATGCCCACGGTCTTGCTGATGAAGAAGCCGGCTGCCATGGCGGGCAGCAGGAGCGGCACTGGCAGAGACAGCGCTGGCGCAAGCACGGCTTTTAGCCTCTCGCTCCCACGAGGTTTATTAGTCCAAGTTAATGGGTGAAGGATTAAATGGCCATGGGGCTCAGGGTGGCGACAGACCCTGGGATGAGCTTTCCACCTGCCCACCCCCCAGGCTGGCAGGAGCACCAACGCCCGGTGCCACTGCTGCAGGGACAGAGCTGGCCGAGGGGGGTGGCACCATCGGGGAGCGGGCTGTGGGCCCGGACCCCCAGCGTCCTTCCCCAGCGCTGGCCTGGCCCTGCAAACAGAGGGACAGAGGTGGTGGTGGCAGCCAGCAGCCACATCCCCAGCCCACTGCAGGGCCCAGCACGTGTCCCCATCCTCCAAGCCCAGATGCAGGCTCAGTGTCACCCCGTTTACCCTGGAGTGACAGGGTCTGAGCCACCATCAGAGGGTCCAGGTCGCCCACAGCTCACAGGCTGCAGGGAAAGCAGGGGCCGTGGGGTGCAGCACAGGGGTCTGGCAGCGGTAGGGGAACGTGGGGGGGACGCCTGGGAGGAGCTCCCCCTGCTCACAGCCCTCTCAAAGTTCAGGGTCACGAACCCAGAGGCACCGGGGTCAAACTCTGTCCTTGTAAGCGCAGCCCCAGCGGGCACGTGAGGTCCCCACCCAGGGTGGGGGGTGACACAACCTGTCACACACTGGGAAGAGTAAGCCCTGTTCCCAAGATCTGATCGATCTCTCTGTAGGGAGATATGGCCATAGATTATGAGCAGGTGCTGCCAGGAGCCACACAGCTGGGCCGAAGGGCAAACCAGGACGAGTGAATGGTGTCCCCAGGGAGCCTTACCCCGTCCCTGACCCAGCTGCACCCGTCAGGGCCACCGTGCCTGGCACAAATCACTCCGGACGCTGCTGGTATGTCCCTGGCGTTCCCTGTTAGGCACAGCCATTCCCCAGGTCCAGAGGCCACCGCTGGCTCTCTCAGTCCCATCCCCACCCTGGCTGTGGCCAAAGGCTTTGGGGACAGTCCCCTGCAGCACCAAGGGCCGCAGGTGGCTGGGAGGGTGCCAGGCACTCTGCACACCCCCATCCCTCCCCACAGCCCCTCGGGCACAGCACACAGGCATCCCCCACTGGCTCACCTGGGCACGGGCTGGATGGAGTTAACGGGGAGCAGCCCTGGGGTGAGACACAGCACCCACACCCTGACACCCTGACACCCCCAGCACCTGCGGGATTCCTTCCCCACCCCCTGAAGTTTCCTCTCCGGAGCCCAGCCAGCTGCACACACATCTCCCGCGTCACACAACGGCACAGATGTGGGGCGTCACTCCCTCGGAGCTCCGGCCTCACACACCCCACAGCCTGACACCCCCTCAGAACCCTCCACACCGTCATGCGCCCCCACAGCCCTACCACAGAAACCCCAC